TAAAAGCATGAAGACAATGATTCTTTACATCCTTAACCTTTTCACCTGAATGAACAGAGGCTAAAATTAGAGAGGAATATGTATCAATAGACACATGGACATATTGTAATTTTCCAAAGGAAGGCACGTGTGTGACGTCCATTTGCCACACATGATTAGATAAAAGTCCTCAGGGATTAACTCCCAAATGAGGAACAGGTAAAAATTCAACACAAATAGGACATGATTTAACTATCTAGATGGCTTGATCCTGGGTTATGCCCATATGATGATGGGGAGATCCAGCATTAAGATGATAGCGTTGAAGCAATTGAGTAGCCTTTTCAAAGGCAGAACAAATTAATGTGACAGCCATACGAGTAACGACATTAGCCCTCTCATTACCTTCGCTTAGAGGTCCAGGCAATTGAGTATGAGCTCTAAGATGGTCCACATAAAGGTTATGTGAGCGGGACCAAATAAGTCCTTGCACTTGCAATAAATATTCATGAATGGAAGAGATGGATGGTATGTAGGCTGTTGTCTCCAAAGGCACAACGGCATGTGCCACATATTGGCTATCAGTATAAATGTTTACAAGTTCATCAGAAAATATCTGTAAAGAAACAGCAGTGACTGTACCTCCACCATCTGGGTGGAAGTGCCCTGGACTTTCATTCTCTTTACTATGTTACCAGAAACTACCACAGCAAAACCACATGAAGTGCCATCAATAAATATCACATGGGCCTGAGGAAAAGGAGTCATCTTTACTATCTTGGGAAATATAACAGGATGCAATTTAAAAAATTGACACACATCTTTGGAGGGGTAGTGAGTATCAAACTGACCCTGCCTGGAGCATGTCAATATGGTCTAATCATTATCATTTGCTTGCAACCATGCTATTTGAGATTGGGTGTATGGGGTTACCACAATATCTGGCTCCTTACCAAAAGTTTGAACACTAATCTTGATTCCCTTAAATATAATCTGAGCAACAGCCTGAGGATAAGGAGTAATGGTTTTCACTGGAGAAGCTGGGGAATGTACCCATAGAATAGAACCTGTTTGCCAAAATACTCCAGTAGGTGAATGAGAAAAACAAAATATCAAATACAATAAGGGAGATGAAAGATCTATATAATGTATGTGAGCCTGTTCCAGGGCCTCTTGTACACGTTGTAGGGCTGTACGCCCTTCAGCTGTTAATTTATGGGGAGATAAAAGGTCAGGGTCGCCCTTTAAAACATCATACAAAGGACAAAGTTGACCTGTTGGAATCTGTAAATTGGGCCAAAGCCATTGAATATCTCCCAGAAAGCCTTGGAAATCATTAAGCTGCATTGCTGATCTATACACAGGGTAATAAACTTTTATGGATGTATGCTTGTGCATAACAATTCACAACCTAAATACTAATAGGGAAAAGATATCTTTTCTGGGACTATTTGTAAATTAACCAGGCTAAGAACCTCTTGTAATTTAGAAAAGGCATCAAAAACAATTTTTTTGCCATCAGCAGCCAATAAAATATCATCCATATAATGAATTATATTAACATCTGAAAAAGCTTTTTGTAGCAGGAATCTTAGAAGTTCTTATTAATAAAATCAAACCCGAGGCGAGTTATTGGGGTCCATGCTGGTAGATCAGAGAGACAGAACAAGCCACAGCTATCTCACCTCGCCAGATCCTCAGCTGGTCTTGTCTCCTCAGACTGGAGGCCTCTGAGTTCTCATCCGGAATGGGTCTCAGCTGAACTGCTGCTTCAAAGCTTGAATGCTTAACCAGC